TATATGCTCTTCCATGGTCTTGGTATAAATTAGAATGTCATCCAACTACACCAGCAGCCTTTTGTACAGGTGCTCATGCAGGACCTCATTTATTAACTGCATGAATACTGCTAGTACTCCTTGCAACCCAAATGCCATCCCTCAAAATTGGTAACCACCCAGAAGGCAGTTAAATGTGGTTTTCCATTCATCTCTTTCTTTAATCCTCATTCAGTAATAGTCTTCCCTTAAGTCCAGTTTGATGAAAATCTTTCCTCATGAGGAGGAGGGGATACATATTCTCTACACAGATACAATTCAGTCCGTGATAATCCATGCACAGCCTAAGAGACCCATCTTTCTTCTCTTTGAAAAGCACAGGGGCAGCCATCCTTGATTTTGCTGGCTGGATAAATCCCCTAGCTAAGTTCTTGTCTATGAACCCCCAAAGTTCCTTCATCTCCCTTGGCATCATTGAATACACTTTCAGCTTTAGCAATTTTGCCCCTGGCAAGATCTCAATAGCACAGTCTGTGGGGTGATGGGATGGGAGTACGTCTGATTCCCTTTTGCTGAATGCCTCTGCTATGTCTCAGTATTCACTTGGAATGAATGGCTCTAACCCCTCACTTCGCTTTAGTGTGTTCACTGACTCCACTTTCATTTTACAAACTGCAGGCTCATGGCTGGTGTGAGATGTTTTCGCTGTCTCCTGCCAGCTAGCTGTGTTCTTCCTTATCCACCACTTGTTGCTGTCCCAATCTACTCATGGATTCCATTTCTTTAACCAGGCTAATCCCAGGACCATGGTCTCAGTCATTCCAGGAGCTACAATAAAATGGATAGTCTTTATGAGGGTCCCAGCCCTGAAGCTTACTGGCTGTGTTAGGCAAGTTGCTGGTGCCCTCCTGTAAGGGAACCGTCCAGCTGGGAGAACCTCCAACACTGGAAGTTTTTAAGAAGAAACTGGATAGCCATTTGTCCAAAATGGTATAGGGTTTCCTGCCTGAGCAGGGGGTTGGACTAGATGACCTCCAAGGTCCCTTCCAACTTTATTATTATTATTATTAATTTCCTCAGCCTCAGCCTTAGTTTCTCCAGAGTCCGGAGACTGATTAGGCACTGAGTACACAAGGCAGCGAGGATGTCCATTATTCCCGAGGAGGGCACATGAATCTCCACCCAGATCGTCATGGAGATAATGGTGCCATTTACCATTGGGTCATCTTCCCCTTCACGGTCGCTCTCATAGAAGACCAAGCTGAGCTTGTCATGGATTGGAGGTCTCTCCCTTTTGCTGGATTGGGGAGAGATCTTTACAACCTGTTGGGCCACCTGCATCTTCTCCCTTGGCCTCACTAGGGGCTTTTCTGGCTTTGGTTGGGCCAGGCTCACGCTGCCAATACCGGGTGTGATACAGGACAATTGGCCACTCGGTGGCCATTCCTCCCACATCAGAAACATGCTCCCAGGCTTCAGCGGGGCTTTTTCCCCCGTGGAAGGGATTGCGTCTTTTCTCCTTCTATGGGGTGCTGGGCATCTCTTGGGCATCTGGTGGGGCTATTTCTCACATGCTGCGTGCTCCTGGTACTCCTCAGTTCAAGCTCCATGTTTGTGGTCAACCAGTACCATGCTTGAAGGTTGCCTGTATTCCATGGGCAGTGGTAGCAGTACAGCTTCTTGCTCAGCCCCTCCCGGAATTGATAAACCAGCATATGCTCCAGCCAATCTCTCAGGCAAGCCATCAGGCCATGGAAGTATTGGATGTACTTTGCTACTGGCTGCTTGCCCTGCTGTAGGAAGCTGATGCAGATCTCTGCATGCCAGGCTGCTGCAGGGTCCTTGAACCTGTCTCACAATGCCTGCACGAAAGCATCCAAGTCTTGCAACTTTGGAGCCCCTTGGTCCTGGAGAGACACTAGCCATTCTACTGCATCCCTCTCCAGGTTAGATGTAATGGCATTGACCTGGGTGTACCCATCTGGGTATATCATGGCATTCCATATAATTCCAGACCTGGGTGAGGAACTAAGCCAAGTTATTGGGCTGTCCATTGAACCAAACTGCTAAGGGAGGCAACACTCGGTCTTCTCACACTAGGACATACCCAGGTTGCAACCCCACTGCTGCCTGGGTTGCTTGAGTGGGGGTGCTAGCTTTGTTGGGGCTGAGAGTGCCAGCTTCTATATCCTAGTTTTAGCTTGAGCCTCCACCAGGGCTTCACAAGGGATGGCTTCCTTTGGTCTCTCTATGAGGGTCCCAGCCCTGAAGCTTACTGGCTGTGTTAGGCAAGTTGCTGGTGCCCTCCTGTAAGGGAACCGTCCAGCTGGGAGAACCTCCAACACTGGAAGTTCTGTTCCTCTGTCAGCTGCTAACATCCCGAAGCTGCCTCCTGATAGGGTCCAGGTAGGCTGTTACATTGCAGAGCTGGTTTAAAGTCAACTGTCCTGTTGGCATTTCCAGAAAAAGAAGCTCTTAGGACACATTGTCCAATAGTAATACTTCTTGTTATGGGAAAAGTCCATTTCTCCATTGAGTACCTGCATTGTGACCTTGGTGTTATCAGCACCAAGCTTTCAAAGTTGCCTTTCTAGATACCATCCCTCCCATTTTTGCATTCCACAATCTTGTCAAGCTATGAGTAAGGGAGAAAATGTAGATGAAAGGGCGAATCAGTCTTGAAAAGATCATATATGTGGACATAATAGTTGTCAACACACTGGAGGTTTTTAAGAAGAGACTGAACAGCCATTTGTCTGAAATGGTATAGGGTTTCCTGCCTGAGCAGGGGGTTGGACTAGATGACTCCAAGGTCCCTTCCAACTTTACTATTATTATTATAAGAAGGAAAGAGGAAAAGAAAAGAAAACAGGTAAGTTTATACATGGCCAGTAGCTGCAGAAATGACAAAGTCCTATTTGACCACTGCTCTTGGCTAAACTTGACAGAAGAATTGTAGATATGATTTGGTAGAGTCTTTCTCAGATTCTTTATGGGAGATAATATAATAAAATAAAACACAACAATTTGAACACCCACTGCAGTATGAAGAGTCCACAATTTAAACTGTAGTCTGCTTTGTCCCATGCTAGAAATCAGTGGTTACTTGGGTGGACTTGGGAAGCTGAGACATGTGTAGAAAACAGCCTTCTATTAATCTAATGCAGGGTTATCACACTGCTGGCCTGCAGGCTGGACGCGTCATCCGGAAGCCGCGCCCATCCTTTGCCAGCAATGGCAAAACTGGCCCGATACATTGTGTGACATCACATGACGTCGTGAGTTTGATATGTCTGATCTAATGACTACTAGCTCCAGCTTCCACCTTGAACCAAGACCAGAATTGTTAGACTCTTTAGCAACTGTCTAAAACTAAAAATTGACCAAGCAAGATGCTTTAAAATATATTTTAATAATATTTATTGAGCTCAGAGGGATATAGTTAGAATTCCAGCAGCTGAACTTCTTTCACTTTAGAACTGATCTGTCCTGATGTATCAGTACCTCTTATTTTTTTTCTAATGATCTTCCTGTAAGAGAAAAACTTGCATCTGACAGTTTACATAATGGTTTCCAGAACCATTGTGAATTTGAGAAGTGATTTTTGCAGACTCCTGTAATAGTTAAAGCTTTTATCTGTTTGAGTCCCTTTTCTAAACTCTAGTGAGGTATAATAAGAAAAGGGTTTGTTTCAACTCTAATGGCACTTTGTTTCATAACTAGAATTCAAACATGAAAAAAAGAAACATAAATAACTGTAGAATTATTTTATTTTTACTGCTGCTGCAGTCAAAGCTAATTCTGGTGTTAAATGTAACTTCTGGAAGTGCAGTGATCTAATCATGCAGGACAGACTCTGTGGGATTAGTCAGTCCTGCAAGATCTTTTATCTAAAGCTGTGTAAGGCTTTGTGCATCATTAGAAACATTTTTTAATTGGCCTCAAAAAGCAACCAGAAACCATTGAAGTTGTGTGAATTGGAAGTTGTCAAATCTCAAGAGATACTCAAATTACCCATGCTGTTGGGTATTCTGGCCCAGCTGCAAGCTTTAGAATGTCTTCACAGAGCATAATTTCTAATACAGTAATTCAGACTGGAAGCTACCAATGTGTGAATCACCAAAGCTAGGTTTCTCCTCTGATTGGGGATGCAGCTGGTTTAACTGTTTAACACAGAGGTGTCAAACTTATAACGTCACGTGACGTGTCGCGATGTATTGTGACTTTTTTTACATTGCCGGCAATGGGGTGGGCGCAGTTTCAGCATGATGCATCCAGCCTACGGGCTGGCAGTTTGACACTCCTGGTTTAACAATTGAAGTTGCACAACTGTTTTCCTTGTCGTTGTTGCTCCATGATTGTCCAGCCTCAATGGTAGATCCAAATTGAGAAACTGATCCACAGGGAGAATTCAATCAATTATTGTCTACACTTTATCTTCATTCACCATGATCAAAACTGTTTCAGGTAATGGCCATTCAGCATGGGACTCATGCTATATGTATACACTCCTGCTCGCCTGGGATTTGTATAGAGTTTCTAATGGTATCAACTGTTCGACATTAGTACAGATTATTTCAAAAAGTTGTTGCACATTGCCCTTGTTATTCACAAGTCTCAAAAATTTCTAACCATGCATCACATTTCCTGAATTTGCATGGATTGATGTTTCCTGAGGCTTTTCCCAGCACAGTAATTTCTGCTAATAAGGGAAAATATATGCAGAGGTATAAATGTTTGTTTATAGGATATAAATGAAGAATATATGCACAATGATAGAATATAATGGCAGAAAGCTTCTATAAAAGTTCTATAAAACAGTTAAGACTGCACTTTTTTCTTTAATCTCCCCTGTGAAGTCTTCCATTATCCAATACTAGATGCTTACTATCTTTATTGTAAAGCACCAGGAAATGTTGATAGCCAGCAATCTAAATAATTAAATGAAAATTGAAATATAAAACAACCTTTAGCCAAGATAGATTATATTTACGTTGTTCCTATACTCTCTCTTTTAACAGCTTCTCACAGATGCCAACAGCTTCAGGGAAACATGACACCAATGATAACATTACCATATTCACTCGGATCCTTGATGGCCTATTGGATGGATATGATAACAGACTTCGCCCAGGTCTGGGAGGTAGGATAAATACTACAATAATTTTATTTTATTTTATTTTATTATTTTATTTTATTTTATGTATTTTATTTTATTTTAATCTCATCTTTATTATTTTTACAAATAATTAAAGCAACAATGATATTCTTTCTCCTCCTGTTTCCCCACAATAACAATGCTGTGATTTGACTTGGACTGGGAGAAAATGGCTAGTCCAAGGTCATCCAGCTGGCTTTCATAATTAAGACGGAAACAGAACTCAGGAATTTTGTGCTTTCTAGCTTGATGCCTTAACCACTAGACCAAATTGGCTCTCAGTACACCATACTGAAAGTACAATATGTAATAATAAAGAAAGCACTTCTTTGGTGTGGCTCCTTGGTTGTGACACATATTTATTTTAAACAACAGCAACCTTCCTGCTAATTTTCTTGTAATAAGTTCAATGTTTCGACAATTTCAGAAATGCTTTTGTTTGCGTTATGCCCTTGGTTGGTTCATTTTATCATTCAAGGTATGTTTTTGTTGTTATGTTTTAACCATTTACTGCCCTTTGAATAAAGGAGAGTATACCAATACATATAGATAATTTTAGAGAGCAACAAGGCAAAACAAGGGATTAGCCAAAATACGTGCTGAGAGTATATTACAAACTTCCCAAAGGGTGGTTTCTTTTATTTTTTTTTATCTTAAAGATTGTTTTATGTCTTCCAGTCAGAATTCATGTCTGTCATCTTGAGAACAATCACTCAGAGAAGCCCGGTTGCGGCTTTCATGTTTCATGGGGATAAGGAGGAGAAAGATTATAATAAAAGCAAGCTGTAGGGTCTGTGCTGCCAGACTATATGAAAATCACCTGCAGTTGCATTTAATATGAGGGCAGTGGGGATGCAGTAACTGGTAAGAAATGCCCATTTTGGAAATTTTTGGAATTAAGAGGCCATAAACATCTTTCAGTATGTTCCCAGCACACTCCCCTTTCCACCTTTACTGCTGTAAGAGGACAATCTGTATTGTGGAAATGTTGCTGGAAGACTCTTCTAAGGATGGATCACTTTTTCTCTTCATACCTACTTGTTTGCATGCTCTGTGTGCAGGATGGCCTCCTGAGATTAATACCAACATTTCATAAAAACAGACATGAAGATCTATCTCATGAAGTTAACTAACAAAATAGATTAAGTTCCTCTGAAATGCCACTGAATTTCTAGTAAACAAGTTTCTACAAATGACCAAATATTTTAGACTTCAGTAATAAATCAATGGCTATATTCTCCTTTAATGGGTAAATCAAGAAAGCCAGTTTGTTGTAGTGGTTAAAACTGCATGTTTTAGTCCTTCCTGAGGCATAAAACCAGCTAGATGACTTGGGCACTCATCCCCTCTCAGCCCTAAGGAGGAGGCAATGGCAAGCACTTTTGAAAAGACTTGTTAGGAAAACAACAGGGACTAGTTCAAGCACCCAACAGGAGTAAAAAATGGACTTGAAGATGCACACACACAGAGAGAATGAAGTAAATTTATGCACAAAACATGTCAGAAAATGAGGCAGAAATCATTATTCTATTTTGTAGAATAATAAGAATAAACATCTTGATGTGTGAAATAAATCAAGTGCATATTGTTATTTGAAGGAGACTACCACTTGAGAAGGGGAGAAAATATAATATAACCCAACTACAACCTTTATTTATTGAAATTGATTTTCTCTCTTGTGTAGGTATTTGTTTTGCTTTGCTTTTTTTTAAAGAACCTCACTAGTATGTGTTGTGTCCTGAGCCTGCAAAAGCAGGCTTGGGATGTTGCATTCCAAAAGCTGCCTGGGACCAGCCTTGTGCACATGCGCAAGGCGCGAAAATGCTCTGTTCCTATTGGTTGACACTGTCCGGGCTTCTGGCCATATAAAAAGGCCTGCGTGCCTTTTGCTTTTGCTTAGTTGTTGTAGAAGGAAAATAAAGTGTTCATCATCACCATGTGTCTTCATCATTCGCACGCGAACAAAGGATTTAACTCTGGCGACGAAGGTGGGATCATTTGCAAGCTGAAACAAAAGATTTAAGAACTTACCCAAGAAGTCCAGCAGAGGAGAAGACGGTGTCTGAATCAGCGTCCCAGCCTGCCAGTATAGCATCGCTGGAGGGTGAGCTCGGCTAAAGGACCCTTTCCTCAAACAGCAGTTTGCAGAGGAAGCGAGGGTGAAGGTCGTAAACTTTACGATGTCGAAGATTGGCCGCTTGGCTGATTTTGCTGTCTCCCACCCAGAGAGATGGAATTCCTACATAGCATGGGTGGAGAACTACTTCAGAGTAAATCAGATAAGAGAAGACGGTCTGAAGGCTGCAACTCTTTTGTGTGCCTGTGGTCAAGAAGCTTTTGACATTGCAGAAAATCTGGTGGCCCCTGCACCTCTAGAGTCAGTAACATATACTAACTTGAAAAAGATGTTGAAGGAGCACTTCCAGCCGAAGTTATCGGTCATTGCTTGGAGGCACACATTCGAACAGAGAGACCAGAGGCCGGGTGAATCTGCTGCAGACTTTATTGCTGCCTTAAGGCAAGTGGCCAGGCCTTGTGAGTTCAAGGATCTGGAGGAGAGGCTGCGAGATCGCTTCGTATGCGGTTTGAGGAGCAGAGACTTACAGCAGAAGATTTTTACAAAAGAAGATGTCTCCTTCTAAGATGCGCTATGAGAGGTGGCAGCTGAGGAAACAGCAGGTGGGGCTGTGAAGGCCTTACGGCTCACCAGGAACACTCCAGACACAGCTACAGTCCATCAAGAGGATGCTCTAGAAGGATTGGAAGCGGATCCTGAAGAGGAGGTGGACAGACTTCACCAGCCAGCTGAAAGGAGGCAGAAGGGATGTCCGGACAAGGCCCCAGCACCTCTTCAATGCTTCAGGTGCGGAGGACGCCACAAGCGAGCTGAATGCAGGTTCCGCTCCGCCATTTGCATAGCGTGTGGCAGGCAAGGCCACATTGCATCCATCTGTTTGGGTCGCCAGAAGGTCCAACCTCGTGAAGAATTGCATCTGAAAAGTACCAGGGTCCCCAGCCAACATAGGGTGGGCTTCTGTGCATCATGCAGGAGTATTCTAAGGACAGGGACACACAAGCCCCTTAAGAAGAAACTTTCCATTAACATAAGGTTGCAAGTGGGTCCCTTATTAATGGAGTTGGACATTAGGTCCGCTCTCTCAATTATTTCAATTAACACATTCAAAAGGATATGCAGCAGCAGTGGCCTTCGAGTTAAACTCAGGCCATCAAATCTAATACTCACTGATTTTCAGAATTCTATGGTGTGTTGGACTTCCGGTGTGATCAAGCAGCTATGATGGCTGCTTTTCACAAAGCAGCCCATTCCTGGGTTGTGTAAAAGCCGCAGGACTTTTACAATCAGCTGTCCTGCGGCTTGAATCTCTTCCCTGGGAGAAAGGGAAGAGAAGAGCTGCTCAGGTAAGAGCTCCCCTGGATCCCCATAATTTCAGGGATCGGAGGGTAGAGCTCCCTCGGAGCCTGAGCCAACTCCACACTCCAGGACGTCTTTGTCCCGAAGTTCTGGGATGAAGCAAGGCGCCGCTCCCACATCTGCTTTTTTTGGGGGAGGCTTCTGAGTATTCAAATGCAGACGGAGCAGACCAGGAAAAAGTGGATTTAAGATTGATTGTGACTTTAACTCCTGTAAGCATCTTCTCCCCCCTTTCTTCTCTTTGTTTACTTTCCCTTTTGAAGAAAGGGAAAGTGAAAGGCAAAATGGTGACTGTCTTTCTTGTTTGACTTTGCAACAAAGTTAAAAGTTTATGTTTTAAATATAGAGACAAGAATTTTGTTCCTCTTTCTCTTTTTTTCCCTTTTTTCTTTCTTTTTATTATTATTTAAAGAACTGTGATATTATAAAGGCAAGAATTTTGCTCCTTTGAACTTAACAGAATGGCTTCAAAACGTTTGGTCTCTGTCCCTAAAGCTTCTATTTCCTCCCCAATGACTCAGCCTGTTTCTCAGTCTAAACCAAAATCACCCCCACCCTCTCCTCCTCCTGCAATCTCTCTCAAAGGCTTACAAGAGGCTTTAAAAATGATTGCTTTGGATACTAAAGAGGAGGTAAAAGATCTTATAATTGCAGAGAGGGCTATTACAGAAGAATTATTGGAGAAAAAGAACAAGCAGGCCAGAGAAGACATATTATTTGCGTTTTCTGGTCTTGCCCTGCATATTGAAAGGATTGACGATAAAATGGAAGAGATTACTGAAAATGCAGCAAAATTGGAATTTAGAATGGTGGAAGTGGAGAATAAGATAGAAGTTACACAGGATGAACAAACTATTTCACAATACAGAGAAATGGAGTTTGCATTGCGTATCTGGGGTTTGAAAGAAAATTCCCAGGAAGATTTGAAGATGCTTATTGTTAAAGATATTGCTTTTAATCTTGGATGGAGACCAGAAGAGGTTGGGAATGAGATAGAAAAAATCTTCAGAGTCAACTCACGGGTGGCCAGACAGAGAAATTTACCAAGAGATGTGGTTATTTATTTTTCCAGAAGATCTATTCGTAATGAAATTATACAGGCTTTTTATAAAAAGAGGTTTCAAATTGCAGCTCAAGATGTGATAATTTTAAAAGAAATACCTCCCAAAATTTTAAGAGGTAGAAAAGATTTTACTTTTCTGTCTGATGAGTTAAAATGTCGTCAAATCCAGTTCAGATGGGAGATTCCAAGAGGAATAGTAGTGAATTATAATGGAATACATCACAGATTAACTACAGTTTTAAAGGCAAGAGATTTCTATCACTCTATTCTAAAGGCAAGACCGTCTTCACCTCAAAAAACAAGGATAATTGAAGAGCCCATTATGGCAGGAGCTTCCTCATTGATGGTCATGGAACAAGCGGTATTGCCTGTACAGAATCTTGAGATAAAAGATCAAAGGATGACACGAGCTGCCCATAAACGTAAAGAAAAAGAGCAGCAGCAGAAGAGTGGCGATAGTAGAAGGAATGGTTACTACAGAGCCTGTGG